TTAAAAATCATACCAAATTATAATCCTTGTGGTATAGATTAATTTGGTATAAATATCTCATTTTTGAATCTGAGGGTCGAAACCCACTTTTTCCTAGAACAGCCCCCATATATACATAAAAGATTAATAAAACACGAAACACGCATATAGTATTTTAAAATTTTTGTGTTACTTTATATTAGAAAATATTACCCCTGTAATTTCTTCTTTGTGACATTGAAAAAAAATTTTCAATAAAATAAAATTTTTATTATTCTCGAAAGATGTCTGATAGGTAAAATAAATTACATTTAATTTTCTTATTAGATTGAAAAGAAAATAGTTTGGGATGAGCATAGGTGATAGAAGTATATTAGAATTAAAATGAGAATTGTAAATGCATGGAATTATATTAAATATTCAAAATAATAAATACAATACATTTATATGATTTTTAATATTATTATTTTTCTGGATTCATAAATTTATAGCGATAACGTAACGAAGACTATCACGCTTCAAACAGGTACTATTCATTATTCATTACTTATTACTGTTCTTTTCACTACATAAGGAATGTTAATATAACAATATCAACAACAACAAAATATTGTATCTCTTTAAAAAAAAATGAATTAAAAAATGAATTAATTAATAATTAGTTGGATTTGATGCAAGATTTCCGAATGTAAATCAAACAAAACATTGTTGGCAAAATTATGTAGATTATTTCAAATGTGTTAACGCTCGTGGTCAAGATTTTGCACCTTGTAAACAATTCTTTAAAGCTTATCATAGTTTATGTCCTAATGAGTTTGTAAGTTTAACTTTTTTTCATTGCACTTAAATTTATATTATAATATTTATTAATATATTATGTTTATTTTTAGATTTCAAAATGGGATAATCAAAGAGCAGAGGGTAACTTTCCTGCTAATCTTGATCCATAAGACTATATATATATATTCCCCCAAAATTTTAAATTATAATTTTTTTTAGTTAGTTTGATGGATTAATTGATAATTTGATAATTTATTAATCACTCGCATATTATTCATTTATAGTCAATATTATTACAATTGTAATTTAATTTTTTGATTAAGTTTTACTTTTTATTTCCAAATTATTAAATTGAATAAACTCACAAAATATATATATAATAAAAATAATAGATATACAAAAGAATAATATATAATAATATGTTAAATATACTATTACTACTAATGCTCTTATAAAAAGGATGAATAAAATAATCAAGATTGAATTTATTGATCCCAATGTACCTGCCAAATCGGTGTTGTTGTAAATGTAAGTTGTTGTTGCTGATTATTTTGATAATGATGATGTGGTGGTGGTAAAAGCTCATCATTACTATTAGCATCATCAAATATTATTGAATTTTGATTTTGATTTTGATTATGATTATGATGTTGATGTTGATGTTGATGGTGTTGTTGTTGTTGTTGTTGTTGTTGTTGTTGTTGTTGTTGTTGTTGATTTGAAGGTGTTATAGAAGAAGATGTGGGTGTGGATACGGTATTCGGTGAAGATGATAATGATGAAGATGATGTGGCAGGAGTAAGAATTGGAGTTGTTAATGACGAAGTAGGATTTAAATTATTATTACTATTATTATTTGTTGGAATAGATTGTTGTTGGTGTTGTTGTGGTGGTGCGAGTGAATTTTCCCAATCAATATATATATTTTGTTGAGTAAAGTCTAATTGATTAAACCCGTTTGTAGTGGCAGTAGCATTATAATAATTAGATGATGGCACAATTGGTGGTTCGGCTAATGATGATGAGACAGGATTTAAAGCTAATTGCTGATGATGAGATTGCAAATCAATGAATGCAGTTGATGGATTTGATGGTGTTGAAGTAAACGACGACATTGTTGATGCTGATGAATTACTATTATGATGACGATGCTGTTGTTGTTGACGTTGATGTTGATGGTGAAGATTCTGATGACTAATAATATTATTACTATTAGTATTGTTGCTATTAATATTGTTATTATTGCCATTAATAGCACCTAGATTTTGATTTCTTGATTGATGATGTTGTTGATGTGACAAATGCTGTTGGTATTGAAAATTAGGCGATGGTTCAGGTGTTGGGTTTGGTTTATAGATTTGAGATGTAGGAAATGGAGTCACAGCCAAATATTTTGGTAGTGATGGGCTATTTATAATTGTGTTGTTGTTGTTGTTGTTGTTGTTGTTTGTGATTGTAGTGTTGGTATTAGTTATTGAAGAGGTTATGGAAGTTTGATTTGATAATGGCAGAAGAAGTTCAGTTTTAATGATTGGAATAGGATCAGCATTTGAATTATTAGTAGTATTGGTAGAGTTAAAGTCATTATTGGTGGTGGTGGTGGTAGTATTAGTGTTGTTTTTGGTCTTGTTGATCTTTTTGTTATTTTTTAGTTTTGTGGAAGAAGCATCGATATCCATAATGTTCTGTTGTGTTAAAGAAGCAGGAGTTAACATATTTTTAAACTGGTTTTCATTTCCATGAATTATAACAAGATCTTTAACGTCACCAACACTACCAACACCACCGCCATTTTCTAAAGTTTTGCTATTATTGTTGTTGACGCGACCTTTACTAACACGTCTTTTTGCCTTCTGTGATGTTGGATTAGCAATAATATTTTTATTAATGTTAGCAATAGTGGTGGGTGATGCAATAGAAGCAGCATTGGCAGTATAAGTGGCCCCACTATTATTATTATTTCCCCAATTATTATTATTCCTATTATTATTACCACCACTACTATGACTACTATTATTGTTGATGTTGTTACTATTATTGTTGTTGTTGTTGTTGCTGTTGTTGCCGTCATCGTTGTTGCTGTTGTTGCTGTTATTATTATCAATATTCATATTATAATCATTATTAAATAATCTTGATAGCTGCTTCTGATAAAGCATTTCCAAAAATCCAGAATATTCTTCAACTCCACAATATCCTTTCCCTAATCTTCCACATCTTGCTAATTTTTTTAAAGCCTCCACCGACTTTTTTGCATACTTTATCGCACTTTCAGAATAATCCTTATGATCCTGATGACCCCTATGATCCATATTCATGATACTTATCATGGTAGATTGAGTTAAACAATAAGCCGATGCAGAAAATGTGTAATAAATTCCACGACTATCAACAGGTATACAACTCGATAATTTTGCGATGTTTATTGCAGCATTGTGGCAAATCTTCCTGGAGTCAAAACCAGGATACTCTTCCGGTGAATCTATGTAAGGTCTGTGCAAAGTGATTAAAATAGTATTGTAGAATTGATGTAGATAGGAAGCATATACATGTACAGAATTTGGTTCAAGGTCTTCCAGTTTATCGTTGGGAGTGTATTGCAGATGAGCTGGTAATGCAAGTGACCAAGAATTTAATGAAGCGTCGATTGCTGGTAATGTGTTTCTTATAGCACCAGGTTGAGATGTGTAGGGTTTTGAGTGTAAGACGTTTCCAAAAATTTTTAATAATTTTGAGAAATGACAATAATTTATAACATCTTGTTTCTCATCACCATCTTCATCAATCTCATAAGGGTACCTTGTATTATGATCATAGATTGGATATGGTTTTCTAAACAAAGTAATGATAAATGTTACCATAAATAAATTAAATACATTTAATGTAGCCAACTATTAATAAATATTTTAATTATTACCCAAAAGAAGCGCACGCAACAACTTCAACATTCATGATTGCCCAGAATACCCTAGTTCTCATAGCCTTTTCTAGTTTACTGATATTCCATTGAGAACAATCACGATGTAAACCTAAATCTAAAGCCATTTTCATCCCCATACCAATAAGCATCCAAAGTCGCCAATGACGGTAAAGATGATCTTCGTGTGATTGCAACGGAACCCCCTCCTCCCTCTAAATATAATGGTGACACTGATTTACCTGATAAATATTTATTTGACCATTTAATACAAGTTTTCATAAAAAACGGCTCTTCCTCTAGAAGTCCTTTAATACATAAACCAACTTTCTTAAAACAAATAAAAGATAAAAACAATCAACCTTCCTTATTATTGTTGAATGCTGTGATGGCTGTGGCTAGTATTTATTCTGATAATCCTGAAGTAAGGCTTGATAAAAATAAACCCGAGACCGCTGGTGACTTATTTTTCAGGAGAGCAACGAGTGAGTAGTAATTATTAATTTATTTTTTAAATTATTTTTTTGTAAATTTTTTTACTATTGTTATTTTTTTTAAAAAAATGTTAACAACCGAGGCTCCAGAACAATTACAGTTCCTACAGTTGCAGCAACAGCAACAACAAACTCATCCAGCACCTCAAATGTTTGATGCTTTCCATCAGTCACCTCACGGTGAATTTAAGCCAACTTTCTACAATCCATTTGAGGTAAAGCATAGACGTCGTACCTCTCGTCAACAATTAAAAGTGCTCGAGAAAGCTTTTAATGAAAATCCAAAACCCCATGCAGCTGTTCGTCAAGCTCTAGCTCAAAAATTAAGCATGACTCCACGTGGCGTACAAGTTTGGTTTCAAAACAGGCGTGCAAAAGCCAAGAAACAAAAGTCTGATGGTATCAGTGGTGATGGTGAAGGTGATGAGGATGATGCTGATGAAAAAGATAGCAATGATGCATTATCTACTATGTCTAGTCCAAATGCTGATGATTCCTTGGAAAATTATTATTGTGGAACCGCTAATTCAACAACTGTTTCTCCAATTACTCCCAACTCTCCTACTACTCCTAGCACCATCCCTTCTGACACTTCCAGTACTCCTAGCTCTCCTACTAATTTTGAAATTAACAATTCTGCTGATAATAATAATAACAACAACAATAACAACAACAATAATAGCAACAATGATCATGCTGTCAATCACGCAAATTTGACAAATCTTGCAACTTTAGCCACCGATCAATCAATCAACCAACCAAGCAGTAATAATAATAACAATAATGTTCAAACAAGTCATCAAATCTTCGCCAATTTCCCTCAATCAGTCAATGATCAATCTACAAAGAAATCTCGCCCTAAGCCAAATATTGATCCTTTGAAAACTAGTTGGCAAACTCAAGAAGAATATGATTTGATGGTTCAACGTCGCCAATTCGAACAATTTGGTCCAAAATATAATACGAATAATCATAATAATGACTGGATGCATTCAAATCTTTCCTCCGCTACAACCGTTGGTTCTGATTACATTTACGACCATATTATTCCACTTTCTACTCCTGCATCGGCAGTCACTATCTCTGATTGTTTCACTGAATATACTTATAGTCCTGTTAGTTCTGTGATTAGTGATAATAAGGATGGTAATGGTAGCATCGCATCGTCAAGTGATTCGTTGAATCCTACAGCTTATGCACGCCGCAATTCGTGTCCTGAATTGATGGCCTCTATTCTGAATTTGAAACTTGGTGGACCTCCTGACGAAAAACGATCTTTATCTACAATCATTGAAGATGAAGCCTTGTCCAATGATCCTTCTATGCATCAATTCTTAGCTGTTCCTACTCAGGTAAACATAATTATATGATATGGTGTGCGTGGAGTGAAGTTTGTTTAATTATATATCTCTAATTATTAATTATTCTTTTTATATGTTAATATATTAGTTCAAAAGACGTTTCTCCGAACCAATTAATAGGTATAATTTTAGTAGCAGTTTTTCTGGTTTTAATACAGAAGTCAATTCTGATTTAATAACTGAAATATCTAATCTTAATAATAATACCGTTACTCTTAATGCTAATAATGATAGTCTAACAACTAATACTACTGACACCACAAATGCTACCAATATAAACAACACACCCGCCACTACAATACCACAAAATCACGCATCATTTCCATTCAACCTACACACAATCTTAACAACCAATCAACAAAACGATCATCATCCATTACTTCGTAATAACAATGTCTGGCCTTCTACCAACAGCACTGCTAATCATAATCATCATCATAATTTAAAAGAACGTCCAATGTGGAATTTTCAATTAGATTTCAAACAACAAACAAAATTGCCAATTAACTCCACCATGGGTTTAAAGAATGCCGATGCTATTAACGTCACTCATTGGAATACTTTACCATCATCAAACGTTGACAACTCCACAATCAATTCAAATATGACTATTCCTATTACTGATGACATGAGTTTTATGCATCATTACTATGAAACTTCAAATGATCAAGTCGTAGGTTAATAATAATATCAATAATCATAATAACAATAACTATAGCAATATAACATTGTTGTCATTTTTTATATTTATAAGCTATTTAAGCTAACAACAAACAAACTAACAAACTTTTAATACTTACATACATATTTATTTATTTATTTATGTAATATAAGAGAAAGATTAAGCCAGTAATTTTTTTTTTTTAATTAATTTTTAAGAAATAACAAAAAAATTCAGAAAAAAAATATTTATTAAAAAAATCAAAAAAAACATTATTATTTAATTGATTAATTAATTAATTTAATTAGATTTTTTTTTTTAGAACTTTTGTTTTTTATGACTAGTAGTGTGTGTAAATATAGTATCAGTCAGTGATGATGGTCATCGCCACTGTTACTAGCCTTTTTGTAATTATGTTAAATATATATATAGTTTTTAAAGAATTAAAGAAAGAATTATTTTTTTCTTTAATTCGATTTTTTTTTGTACAGTTTTTTAATTTTTAATTTTATATTTTCTTTTAATTTTTTTTTTGAATTAATTATTAATTATTTAATTAATTATTTATTATTATTATTTTTTTTTTTAAAAAAAGAACTCCCTTCTCACTTTTAATAATATGAATTTTTTTTAATTTAATTTAAGATGTCATGAATTGTTGCACGTTTACATATTTATATATATAATATTCAACAACGTCATCATCAAATCAACAACAACATCAACAACATCAACAACAACACAGTCAATTACTTTAATTTAATTTAATTGTTCAATCGCCATCATCATAATAATTATAAACATAATCATAATCATCATTTATAATACATAACGCGTGTTTAAACGATGATGATTTATGATGATTTGATATTAAGGATGGTGGCGATGATGATGGAGGAAGTTGTATGAACAATACATGTCACGTGTTATCATGAATAATCACGTGACAAACAATTATTATTTATAATAATATGATAACTTTAGCGGTTTTGAAAAAACCGTTTATATTTATAATATGAAATTTTTTTTTATAAATATGTATAGTTTTTTTTTGTAAATAATTTTTTATGAATCTTTTTTTTATGATTTTAATTAATTAATTCCTTTTTTTTTTTTTGATTAATTGATTAAAAATTGAATGTAAATAAATTTTAATAATAAATAATTAATATTTTAAAATCTTTAACTCTTGCGCAGTTTTATATTTAAAATGTATCACATATAACACTACCTGTTTCACATTTTTTGTCCGCCGCTTTTTCAGTTGTCCATAATTACACAGTAATTTTAAGGAATAAAAGCGGAAATCGATCATTAAAATAGTAGTATGTGGAACAACATCTTTAATTCCTTTTTTCTTTAATATAAAAAAAAAAGAAAAAAAAAGTAATCAATTTTAATTTTTAAAAAATATATAAATTTTAAAATAGGATGGTAAAATTTCCGAGTACTTCACCTTTGTGGTTTTATCTAATATCGCTTTCCTTATTTCTTTTCACTGTATTATTATATTCTTCGTACTTATTAGAAGATGAAGAAGACGGAGATCTCTACCAACAGTATATAGATGATACAATAATCTTACCAGAAACATTTAATGAGAGCTATGAAGGCGAGTCGTTAGATTTTTTGGTGGTTGGTGATTGGGGTTCAGCTGGTAAAAAAGATAAAAATAGTAAAAACACTACACAAATCAATGTTGCAAAGTCAATGGAACATTTTGCAACTATGCACGACAGTAAATTTATTGTGAACGTAGGTGGTTCGTACAAAAGGTTTTTGATACGTACATATACACTCACTAATACGCACGTATAAGAGATATTAATCAATAAACAAAAAATTTTTTTAATAGATAATTTTTACAAGAGGTTTAAAAATGATTATCAAGGAATAAATAGTGTAGATGATCCTAAATGGGAGGAGATTTGGCTAAATGTATATAATGGACCTAAATTATCAAAGCTTACTTGGTACAGTGTTGCTGGTAACCATGATTGGTAATTATCATTCTTTCTATTAGGTTATTCTATATTAAATTTTTTTAAAGTTATATAATCTAAATATAAAATATAAAATATAAATGCAAATTAACGAACCAAAAATAGGTATTCAAATATAACAGCTCAGGTAGATTATAGTTTAAACAAAAATTCCAGATTTTTTCTTCCGTCATTATTTTATGTGCGTCGATCAGCATTTGGTAAAGAACCTTTTAAAAAGACCGAAATAGCATGGATTCACATAGATACAAATGTTTTTGCATATGACGTGGATGAAATTGTTGAAGAAAAAATGCAAGGCTTGAAAACCAATTTGCTTGCTTTTGGGTGGCATAAAAAAAAAGTGATTGAAAAAAAATTTAAATGGATTGAAGATCGATTAATTGAAAATCAAGACGCAAAATGGATCTTTGTTGTTGGTAAAAAAATTAACTTATCTGCTTATTTTTTTTTTTTTGAAAAATTTTCCATTAAAAAAATTTTTTTTTTATTAATAAAAGGGCATCATTCACTTATCGGATCATGTTCATCGCAAAAAAATTTGCCAAGACTATTAAAATTACTTGAACATTATAGAGTAAGTGCTTATTTTTCAGGGCATAACCACGTACTACAATACAAATCACCTGACGAAACGTCGCCCTTTGCAAAATTTGTTTCTGGTGCTGGATCAAAATTTGGTTATGGGTGCGACGAGAGTGATTGGATGGCGACGAGAGGAACTGTCGGATTTTTACACGTTAAAGTTACAAATAATGATTTACAATTTGAATTTATAGATTCTACTAATGCTACTAGAATTAAAAAAAATAATATTGGTAAAATCGCATATTCTGGCAAATTAGAGCCTTTTTTTTTAAAAAAATAATTATTTATTTTATGTTTGATTATGCTATTGAAGGTGATAATAAAAGTAGATTTAAATTATGTAAATATTATGTTAGTATTAGTATTAATAATGGAAATGGATAGACTTTTAATATATTTAATTTAATTAATTTAGAATAGATACAGTTTCCTTTTACGTATATACATATTCCAAAAATTTTCATCTTGGTCGCGTGACTAATCGATTTTAATTTTAAAATCTTATAATTAATAAAATTACACGTGTATCATGCAAGTTATATTTAAAATTCATAATTGAAATTTTTATATCTCACACTTCTTATGTGAAAAGAAACAATTGTCACAACTTTTCATATTTGTATTATAAATCATACTCGTTTTTACAATCCTAAAGACACAAAATGTATAGGATCTACAGCCAAAGAAGCTTCACGTGACACTGAAATTAAAAAAAAGTACTCAAGAAGCCATTAGAATCTATGTTCATTAAAACAGATTCGGGGAACTCTTCTGTGAGAACAGTATTTTCTGACTGCAAAAATAGTAGCTTTACCATGGGGGTTCATTCTATAGGCATAAGCCTATAACATTATCGTCTTGCAAATTTACGAATTTTACGGAGAGAAATATCATTAAGGACTAATGTGTACAGTTTGTTGTAAACCCTCCCACAGTTATTTATCGAATTGTGGCAGCATCCCAAAAACTTTCAATGTAGTTTAGCTCACAGTGGTATTTAGGAAAAAAAATAATTTACGTCCTGCATTCTCGACAATCTCTTGTAAAGAGTTGCTCCATAAAATCTAGTTCTAATGATATAATTTTAAATGCACAGCAGCATTTAACTCGATCAGTGAGCTCATGATTTCTGCAACTTCCACACATTCTCAGAAGACTAGGTTTCAATAAGCCTCTTTTTCTAAAACTATTTGGCTCTCCATTTCAAAAACCATAGGATGATGACATGCATGCACCATCTCCTTTTCTTCCATTACGCATCTTTGGCTGTCCTCAACCAGAGCTTAGATTCATACCTGAAACAACCAATGCATCTACGGTACAAAAAGTATGGCTGGAATTTTGATCAAATGCCAAAACACCTGTACGATCTGGATGCATTTTTTTCAAAGATTAAAATTGCTTTCTTTCGTAACTAATACAAAAAAGATAAGTATTAACTAATAAATCATATAAATGAAAGAAATACAATTAATTATAAACTAAAATAAAAGCCTGTTCAGCAAATTTATTGTTGTTCCAATAATCATCTTTATTCTTTCGAGGTCTCAGAACAACATATGCTTCCTTTCAGATTCAGGTCGATTATTATTAATTACTGTTTGCTGTTGATCTATGCACAATCTACCTATTGTTTCACATATAAATTCACTCGAATGAAGACTAATTTCCTGAGTTTTGGGTCTTCAAGGCTGTTCATCTTCTGGAGCCAAACCTTTTTCAAGTCATCATTGGAAAAAAAAAATAGACTCGCCGTGTACAATAAAAATATGAAATTTTCAAAGAAGACCATTTTTCTTCATCCCTATCTTCTCTTTTAAATACTGGAATGTACATTTACAGTGCCATTTTTTATAGAAATTCTTTAGAGTATCTTGCTCATGACAATATCTTTGCTATGAGCTCTATATTCCCAGAAAATTGCCCTCAACCATCGCCTAGCTGTTACTTCATTGATTTATTATTTCCTTCGTATCCAACAAAAGGAAATATTTCCTTAGAAATAAGATTAATAAGTCAAAAATCTTAGTTTAAATTTTTATGTTAAATACTAATTATTTTCTGTTAGAAACAAAAGACCCCCACCTGACACACATTGTTTAGCCAAGATCTAATTAATTTAGCTATCCAAGCAAGGGTCACGATCAATTGATTCTGAAATTAGTTAATTGCATAAATTTTTGAGTGACCAGATGAAGATATTGAGCAACATATTGTAATCTAATGTCTTTATCTTTTTTTGTTCCAAGTCCAATTCAAGATGTTCCAGAGAAAAATTAGATTTATTCTCTTCAACTTTCATTTTCACTATCATCTGGATGTAAATGGATCTGTTGTAATTCATTTTGATTGGTGTCTCCAATATTTACTTACCTTGAAAAAGGTTATTATTTTAGCTGTTCCTTTAGCAGCATTTTTTAAATTCTTTATTTTTGTTTTATATTTCTGCCGCTGCATAGTATATATCAGAGGTCTATCTTTAGGTTGAAATTATCACCATTATTGCTAATGCTAATTAATTCTAATCTGTAGTTAAAGATGAATCCCCCGGTCATCATCAGATTCAATTAATTTCATAGACTAAATCTTAAATTTTTAAACCAGGCTCATTCACATCTCCTAATTCATTCATTCAATTCAATTCCATAAAATATCATCATCACGTCTATTATTAAACAAATAAGTAATATCAATTGAAACATATAATGATGATGATAATTATTATTATTTCAATAGGTTCACCTGTGATGATAGTTTCTTTTGATTTTTTAGCTTCACAAGCTTTTATAGCAAAAGTTTGATTTCTTATTTTTCTATTTAGGCATTTTTTTGTAAGAAATAAAAATTAACAAACAGTTTGTGAAAAAATTTGCTTTTGGGGCAGCACTTGATAAAAATCAATAGTGAAATGCAAATCTTACTTTTTTTCTCAAAATCAATTTTTTAGGTCATTCATTTCGTATTGAAAAGCCTCCGCGTACGAGAAAACTTTTTGTTATTTATAAAAATATGCCAAGTAAAAGAAAAAATATGAAAATTTGAGATTTTTTTTGTTCTTGTTAAGAATGATTGGATTCAAATAAATCAAAATCAAAAGCTGTTTGCGTTTGCTGTAGGAGGAGGTCTGGCTAGCCATTGCACAAATAATATCTGGATGAATAATAAATAAATCAAGATTTTATTGCAATCACTTTGCCAATTGTGAAATCATAATTAAGCCAACTCATGCTGATGAAAAATTTTGTACCTGAAGACTCAAATGATAAAAATTTTTTCTTCCAGCCGAGTAAATTAATTTTTTGATTTTACGACCTCGTACTAGGTCATTGGTTGTCATTTGCCAACACTGCAATAGATAAAAAAACTATGTGTGTATATATATATATAATAAATATATATACTACTACCACCATCAATAGTAGTGGGTAGTAGTAGTAAAATTTTAAAATTTTTTAAGTTTTATTATTAAAAATTTTTTTGCATATTTTAAAAAAATAAAAAAATTAACTATTAAAAATATAATACTTTTGTGTTTGGAAAAAAATTAAATAAAATTATTACTACCAATGATATAGAGAGATATATACATATTATATATATACATATATATATATAATATAATAAATATATACTTTTAGTGGGAGGGGAATTTAAAAAAAAAAAAAGAAAATAAATAAAAGTGTCAGAGTCTTCCGAAGATCGATCGACAAAGAAAACGTAAAAATAATATCACCATCGTCTAAATTAAATTAATTAATGGGTTTTTTTTTAAAATCCGAAAAATTCTATTAATATTAATGAAAAAAAAAGGAAAAAAAGGAAATCTTAAAAATCTATATAAAATTCTATGAAAATTTTTTTTTAATAAAAAAAAAATTGTCCATGATTTTTTTTTGTTTTTGTTTTTAAACTCTATAAATAATGTGAATTGTGATGTATATATTATATTATATTATATATTTATATATATACATGAAAATGAAATTAATTGTATAATAAATAATAGACATCTAAAATGTATGTTTCTTAAAAATCGAAAAATATTTTCATAAAATTAAAAAATTAAAATTAAAATTATATAAATATGCTTATTAAAATATATATATATATATATATATATATGGAGTTCCGGAACTCTTTCATATTAAAAATTATTCTATTACTATCTTAAAAAAAAAATTTTTTTTTTCATAATTTTTTTAAATTTTTTGAAAAAAGTAAAATGAAATTTATACAAGGAAAAAAAAGAAAAAAAAAAAAGGAAAAATTTTTCATGGTAATGCCCATACATCTTGAGGATGAGAATGGTTGATATGATAGATCAAGCCACCTTTGCTTCCGTATGACTTATTACATCCGGCGACACGACATGGGAATGGTTTTGAACGGCCATTATCATTCTATAATGGTAATGATGTCGATAAGTATCAATCAAGATTTTTTTAAAAAATATACGTATTATAAATCAAATCATTTAAAAATTTACCTGTTCTACGTGACCGTGTTCATTATGATATTTTAATCCATTGGCATTTTTATACACCTTTGGGCAACCAAGGATGGTGCATTTGTAAGGGTATTTGTCTTCCGATTGTGTTGAAAGATCTTTATTTACAATCATACCCGGAACCGGTAATACGCCACCAACCATGTTTGTTGAAACTTCATTTATCTATTTAAATAAATTTATTTATTTATAGATATGTAAGTAATTTATTATTGTTGTAATTATTATTATATCAATACTATCTATGTTTTTTATTAATATGAAATAGTTAAATTTACCCTATTATTAAGACGTCTTTTATTATTATATCTATCTTCATCTAAAAACGAGGATGAACGTTTCTTTGATGATTTTGTTGGGTCAACACAAATATCAGCCAAGGTAATTGCTAATAAAAAAAAAAAAATATAAAATTATTATCATTATTATTATTATTATTATTATTACTATTAAATATTAAAATAATGATTTTTTAATATTTACAAGTTTTTGGCTGGATTCTTGGGTATCTTGAAGCATAGTCAACAGTTCCATTGTTGTTGGTGCAAACAGATGGAACATTATAAAAAAGAGAATAGTTGACTGGGTATTGTGTGGTTGGGATATTATATGTTGCGGCTTTTTTTTTAAAAAAAAGAAATATAAATTTAAAATTAATATTATTTAATAATTATATAAATTTTTTTTGATTTATTTTATTAACATTTACCTGTTTGATTGTTATTGACTAGTGAGGCGTTTGATGAAGTTGATGATGAGGCAATGGCGGTGCTAGTGGTTGTGTTGATAGAATTAGAGTATGTAGTGGGAGAGGAAACGAGCACATTATTAGGAATATATGTCGCTGCTATTTTATTAAAAAAAAAAAAATTTTTTTTATTTAAAATTTAATATTAAAACTTGAATATTTTTTAATAATTAATTTTATTATAAACATTTACCTGTTTGATTGATTACAGTATCACCATTATTATTTACCATCTTGACTAATGAAGAAGTTGCGGCAGCTGATGATGTCGGTGAGTATGTTGCAGAAATTGTTTCCGGTGAATAAGTCGTGGAAGTTGATGAAATACTACTATTAGATACTGTTGATCCGGTATTGGATGATGTGCTACTAGATGTTGATGTATTAGTAGAAGAAGAAGATGAAGATGATGATAATGAAACGGAGGTGATGGTAGTGTGTTGATTGTTAATGTCATTGCTAGCAGGGAAACTACCAAAGAATAGAGGATCATCTTCTAAGCTTCCTGAAATAGATGAATTATCTGATGATGGTGATGAAGCGGTGGAATATTGATTATTATTGTCATCGTTATAAGGAAAAGAACCAAAGATGAGAGGATCATTATCCAAGCTTCCTGGAACAGATGAGCGATCTGACAAGACTTGGTTTCCCAGGATGACAGATGCATCATTTGGATCTTTTAAACCATAGGTATAATTATTGTTGTAATCATAATTACAATAGTTGCTGCTGGACAATGCTATCTGATTTGTTAAATAAAATTCATTATTGAACGTGGCATCTGCTTCATTCATCAAAATCTTTTTTCCATTGGTCAAGTATGCATGTCCATAAACACCGTTATTTCTGTTATTAGGAATTGAGATAGGAATTCCATGACCTATATATAATATAGGCACTTGTGTTTATTATTTATTCATATACACTGATAACATTTCCTTAATAAATAATAATAATATTGATCTATCATATGTACCTTGAGAGTAAGTAATGCTAGCATTAAATGAAAGCATTCCGTAGTTCTGGTCATTAATGAAACCAGGATGGGCCGTATCAGTATGTTCCAAGAAATCAGGAATGTTTTGGATTATTTCCCCGCAACAGACAAAAGTGTTAGGTGGACCCATATTGTCAGACTAGGAAGAGATAATAAGAAGTAAGATAAAATAATTATTAGCACACACAAGATTTCTTCATTTAACTAGCATGTTAACTAATAATATCCACGTATATAAAATGAGAATATCTCAACAAACCTGATCGACTACGTGGTTGGTGCTATATAATAAAGAATAAAGATAGATCAATTGTAAATATATTGATTGATTTTGAATAATTATAATAAATTATATTATATAATAATATATAATACTAATAAATAAATAAATAAATAGATAAATAATTGCTATTTCTATTTGTTATTGTTATGAAATGAAAAGAATATTTCCAAATTCAAATGAATGAGGAAAGGACTGATCCAAGCAAAGAATAAAAAAGCAAGGAGAATGAGTTGATCCAACGAAAACAATACAAATAGTAAAATATGAAAAATCAAAGATATAATAAAAAAAAGTAGATAAAATTCGATAGTTTATACAAAGTTTATTATGAAAACAAAAAGAAATTGAAAAGAAGGTGCCGGAAAAACAGCAATATGAATGATTTACATACTTTAATGATGCAGACGACAATGGAGAAGAAGTGACAGAGGAGGAAGTGCTAACATTGCCGTTATTGTCGTTGTTAGTGATATTGTCGTTGGTGTTACTAATAAGAAGTGACATTTCTTCCGTTGCGTGAGGCATTATTTATTCTAATAATGTTGAATTGACAAAAACATGACAAATATGTTCGTTGATTTGACAGTCAGTATATATATAAAATAAATATAAGTTAGTATATGTAATTTCATTTATCAACCAACATATTATATAAATATATATTAGAGATATTTATTTTGTTTACCAAAATAATAATAATAAAAACTAATTTTTATGAATTTTTTATGTTTGTCGATTTCTTGAAAGAAATTTTAAAATAATGCAAATCACTTGATCTTTTCTTACGTTAATTCGTCACAGGTTTGATCTGAACCTCCGCGCTATTTGTTGTTATAGAATTGTAATTTTATATTACAACTAATAAAGAAAATAAACAATCAAATATTTGATCGTTAAAAGAAGAAAAATTTCCACGAAAGAAAAATTTAGAAATTGACGATTTAATAAAACGACGTTAAAAAAAATGATATTATGATGGATGTGAAAGGGTGAGAGAGTGATATATATGTGAATGTTTTTTGTAAGGGTTAAAAAAAAAATATTAGAAAAAATAAACTTGTTTGTTATAAATTAAATTTTCTTTTTTAAAGGAAGTAAAATAGACAATAAATCGTTACGAAATTTTTTATATATAGTTAAACATATAAATAATTAAAACATAAAAAAGAAATTCGTTAAAAAAGAATAGAATTATTTAAAATAATATAATCAAAATAAAAAAAATAAATTCAAAAAAGTGACAATTTTGATTTTTGGAATTTTTCAAAGTGTGTCATATAATATATTTATATATTTAATATTTATATAACTTTTATATATGATGATAAAAAAATTTTTTTTTTTAAAAAATTTTTCAAAAGATAAAAAAAAAAAAAACCAGTAATTTTAAAGTCTTTCTATATTAGAAAATTATTTTTTTTTTGGCTGAAATGAATTTATAATGATATATATACAATGTGTATATATATACAGATTTTAAATATGTAAATATAATAATAATTAAATTATGTTTATACAGAACAGAGATATATATATATATAATTAAACCAGTAGCTCACACAAAATCCAAATTGACTTTGACATATAATATATAAAAAATTATTATATAATACACTTTATACAGAATTTATTGTATATATATAGTATCATATTAGGTTAATGTCTAAATGTCATCATCGTACTCATAATATAACAAAAACTATTGAGATAATTGATCATTATTTATTTATTTATCTATCGAAGATAATTACTAAAAGTATCGATACATAATATAATTTACCGTTTAATTTTTTTAATTAAATAAATTATACTTTTTTATTAAAATTGCCTTTCTGCGTAATTGATTAGATTAAAACTCATCCCATGTTTTTTTTTGTTTTAAAAAAGTTGAATTCGGTAAACGTGGGCATTTAAAAAAAGTACTCGAAAGCGGCGGCATCTTTTTATTATTATTTTTATTATAATAATTTTTTATTATTATTTATTATTATTATTGTTATTACTATTTATTGCTATTGTTATTACTATTATTTATTATATATTATACAATATAATCAAGGATCACACACTGAATCTGCGAGAAACAATATAGTGTTACATGAAAAATACGATATTAAGTTCTCTCTAATTATGGTCTTCCCCGCTTTATGCAAGTTGTACATTTAAACGACACACGATATTTTTTACCATTCATAAAACAGTTTTTAATATTTTATTTTTTGATTTATTAATTTAATTAAATTATTAGCATGTCGTATTATCAACTATTGGATGTTAAAATCCGAAATTCTTATTATGGATTGTAGGTTTTTTTTATATAATAATACAATTATTGTTTCATTTATTGTTGTTGATTTATTATTTGTTTATATTTTGTTTATTATTTGCAGCTTGCTATTTGCTGTTTATTTTTATTATTAACAAACATTTATACTGCGCCATACAAATCAACTTCTAATTACTGCTAGTTTGTTAGTTTTTAAATGAATGCTTAACACAATATTGAAACTCATAGATATTTTAAAGGTTATTGTCTCAATTAGCTAGCTAGTTGGTTTTGGTTGGAATTTTTTGTGTCAGTTAATGTTTGAAATGTATATTGTCGGAACAAACAAACATATCCTCCGCACCATTAATTACCATTGAAAGAGAATAAATTTGACATATCCTTCCATTCTCATTGCATTAAAAAAAAAAGGAGTTGTTGTGTTACATGGTTGTTCCACTACATTCCAAGAAATTGGATAATAAGAAAATTATAATAATAATAATAATAATAATTATAATAATTATAATAATTATAATAATAATAATAATGATCATTATTAATTATTGAATTAGGAAATAAGATATTTGCTTCTTCTTCCTCTTCAAATATATTTTTATGCTGATGAAAAAAAAAAATAAATCTTGGGGGAAAGCATATGAAAAAAGCCACTTTTGTTTGAAAATTATCTTTTGGAAATATATTTTTTTATGTCTCTTGGTGATCATTAAAAATTTTTTTTTATGTTATTACTTTTAATGAAATAAAAAAAAAACTGAAACCAAAAATATATATAAATTTTTTTTTTATCATAGAACATTAATTATGTATACTAAACGTTAGATAGATATTAAAATATATATTTTTGAATTTTCAAAAATGCTCAAGAAGGTTTGAATTGTGGGTGAATTAATATTGAATGAATGAATGAATTAATGTGAATGAAAAGAATGAACGAATTAGTGTGAGCGAGTAGAATGAATGAACATTATTATGACAAGATAAGTCTAACCAAATAATGCTTTAGAAATAATACGCCATAGATTTGATTTTAAATATCCTAAAAAAAAATGTTGTACATTTTCTAAATCTTGACTATCCCTGGTAAAATAATCCCTGGCAAATAAAAAAAACTTCAGACTTTAAAACTTAATAATAATATTAATAATTAAATAATATGTTAACAGACCCTGATAATCCAACTATTATATAAGAGAACAATGAAAAAATTAATGATTTACAGATTTCCAAATTGTTTTTTGTTTTGTAAATAACGATTAATATTAACAATATTAATATTATTTATAAATAGTAAAAATAGAGAGAGAGAAGTTGTTGTTATTTGATTTTGAAATCCATCAATCATCAACCAGCCAATCAAATAAAAATATGTATAATGATATAAATGTCAAATTACTTTGTGTCAAACTTGCTAAAAAAAGTTTTTTTGGTTTTTTTTATGAATTTACTAAATGATTGATATGCATCATGATGAAATAAATATCTAATCTTTTTGATTGTTGTCAAGTTGGTTAAAAACACTTAGCAAGTTATAAACTAAAGCCTTTCTTTACTCGATCAATCAATCAATATGATGTGTATGGTTACATATAATATAACAATTTGAATCAAAGATAATGATTATGATTATCCGTTATTATTATTATTTACACTTATGTGTTACCAACCACCACCAACTACCATATTATGATTTTGACATCATAACATTATTAACAACAATCACATTCATTGCTACCATTATTATTTATTTACTATTAGGCAACAAAACAACAAAAACATTTAAATTTCCCCGAGTTCAATTAATTAATTATTTATTTACAATAACAATCACCATCACCCCCAACCAACCATCAACAAACAAAATTCAAATTCATAAGCCCCAGCCAGTTATTATTATTGATTCGGTTATAGACCGCAATATTATTTATTATAATTAAAAAAAAACTTCAATTGTAACCTAGCAAACAATTAATTATTAACTAGAAAGCCGCCAAAAATAAAAAATTCTAGTAATGATAATGTAAAAATAGAAATAAAAACCACAATTTCCACTATTAGTTACAAATGTTTTTGGCGTACATACATTCCAAATCATCCAATGAGACATTGTTACATTGTGTTTTTGATAATGTTGATACATCTGATATCACCATTTCTTTTTTCTGCTATAAGCAACTAGGTTTTTGTGTCAAAAATTGTCTGTGCTGTTAAATATTCTGAAAATAATGCAATATTCCATATCAGTGAATTTTGTCATATGAAAAATAAAAAAAAAACTATTTAAAAAATAATTATAAATACTTATTGTTTTTGCCATATAAATCATTTCTGTTGTGGATTTAAAGGTAAAATCCGATTTTGCCTTTTTTTTTTTATTAAATGTACTTACTATATATAAATGCATGCATATAATTTACCAAGTATTGATCGTCGTTATCTACATATTCGTATATTATTTGATTATATGTATGTATGTGTTTTTTTTTTTAATCACATAATTGTTGAAATAAACATTTCTGCATGATGTTTTGGAATACTTCGCCCATGGCTGAATAATAATAATTACAAATAAAGATGAAGGAGGAGAAGAAGAAGAAGAAAAAGAAGAAAAAGAAGAAGCGGCGGAAGACAAATAATAATGTATTTAGAAAGAATTGAATTTCTTCCTTCCTTTATTTAATTATTAAATTAATTATTAAATTAAAATTAATTATCACAAAAGATTTTACACCATTGTTCTAATTTCTATTATTATATTATATATTGCTTTTGTTACACTACAAACATAAACAACATAATTCTTGTGTATGTTTAGATAATCTTTGATTGATCTTTTTTTGTTCAAATAAAGATAATAAAATATGATTGGAAGTAAATTTATATTTATATTTATTTATTATGTAAACTTACTAATTTAATTACCTAACAAATAATATTATATATAGTATGATAAGTCAAATATTTTGACATAATAATTTTTTGAATATTTTAAAATATTTGTGGGGGAAAAAGACCTCACATGGGATTCCTTTTAAATATTTTTTATCACGTGATAACCGTCAATTGATATTTTCCGATTTTTTAAATCATCATGATAAATAACAATAAAAGATTATAAACAAACAAACAAAATAATCTATTGTTGTTTTGTTATTCTAAATATATATCGTTTATTCTCTAATTGCAGGAAATTAATTTTATGAATGAAAAAGTAAAAAGAATTGTTGTACAATTTGTTTCTAATGAAAAAAAAATTTTTTTGCTAAAAAAAAAATATGACAAGTTCCATTATTAATAACATGTGCGAGATTGATGTATCAGTAAATATATATAGCAGGTATTAGTATATGACATGCGTGTATATATATATATATGTTACGTGTACATATATATATATATATATATATACAAGTATATAATTGCGCGTATTAGTATGGGGTTTTTTTGAATTCGCGCTAAATATTATTGTTAATACATTAACACACATATATATGCACATATCTTAATTGTTTGAAAAATTTTTTTATTACTCACATAAAAATAAGCATCGATTATAAAAAAATTCCATTAACATCGATGCATCAGCAAGCATTAAAAAAAAATTTGAACTCGTGTAACCCAATCAAAAAATTTCAATTTAACAATCAAAAAAATTTTTTTACTGCGCGAAATCATTTGACACGTTATTCTCGGACGATCTTTAAATTTCCATTTTGGATGACGCGAATTACTCTGAGGTGTCTTTTATAGTAATTTATCACGTGTAATCATTTTAAATTATGCATCCAAGGATTATTATATATGTATATATATGCAATAAAAATTGGGCTAGCGTCATCTATTATTTCTATCATTGCAAAAAAAAATTTTTTTAATTTAATTTTATAGCGATAAAATAATTTTTACAAAAGAGAGAGAGAGAGAGAGAGAGAGACATGGAAAATAATGAATAAAAAGAATGTAAATATAATTGTAATGATGAATGATTATTATTGTTATTGTTATTATTATTATTATTATTATTATTATATTGTGATTGTCTTTTGAAAAAAAAATTGAATAGAGAAAATAATGATGATGAATTTTTACCAGAAAATCAACCACATAATATATTTTTTTAATGAAACCTCCAAACCTTAGAAAAAATAAAATTATACGTTTTTGCGTACAACCTTAAAAACTTCTAATTCCTCTATAGTAGCCTCTAAGTTCCAACCATTTGCATGAGCTAATAATTGATTACCATTTGTAAAATCAATGTATAATAATTGTCCATCTCCCAAAATTCTATCACCGTGAAAATGATTTTCTACAGGTAACATCCAAGGTAATAATAATTTATCATCTTGCCATAAATATCCAAATATAAAACCTTTACCCCCACCCCCAACATTTTCATCCTCCCGATTTGACCAACTAACTGATTTAAATCCACCAAATACAACTTCATCATCGTTAATATTTTTTGTTCTAATGACCGTTAATGTTGGTCCTTGATCGTGACAATATTGTTTCCATATGCTATTATTAGTGTCGGTTTCTTCTTTCAATTCATTTCCATTAGTCCTAAATATTAAATGAAAATTAAATGGCAACATTGAATATTTCTCATATAATTTGATCGATTCTTCATAATCTCGATTATATTTTAATTTATCATCATCAAGATTATCTATCCAATAAGATATCAATGACGTTTCTTCTTTTTCTTTAATTATTAATGAATTTAATCTTAATGGTAATATATTATTATTGTTAATATTACCAACATTAATATTTTCATTATTAGAAATTGATTTTTTTGTATGGTATTGAATTACTTGTTCGTATAATTCCGGTGAAAATATTTTTATTAAAGGCCCAACTCTGCTAACGAAATCTTCAGGTTGCATATGAAAAAATCTAATCTTATTTAGAAACTGAATTATTGTTGATTTTAATGATGTAACATTATCAGATGTCCATAATTTAAAATCATCAAAATGCGATAAATTGGGTGTGTTATTTATTCCCCACATAATAACTCCTGCAAATATATCTATCTCTTCTAATCCTAATATGTCTCTATCTAATATTTTTATTAAATAATGTTTTGGTATAAATAAAAATTCTTTTGAACTAAAAAATGTCTTTGGATTTCTTAATATTGCATTATTGCATGCTTGTAATAAATTTTTACATCTAGATATTTGTAACGTTATAAACAATACCTCACTCGCTTGAGTCTTATTCCAACTTTTCCCCTCAATTATCAAATTCTGTTCTAAATAATCAACAAACGAGTCCATCATTAACACATCAGCTGCTCTTAATAATTCTAATTTCTCTGTCACGCTTAAATTATCTAGATCTATCACTATCCCACCGTAAATGTAATAAAGTATATATTCAAATAATGTTAACGGTATATTTAATCCAATCAAATCAATATGATAATATCCATCAAATTTTTCTTTACGCCATGAATTCGATAGAGCCGCTTTAAAATATTCCGATCTAGTTCTTAGGATTATTGAATGAGCTTTGAACGACTCAAATTTGTTGTTTTCTTCTCCGACATGTAATATTACATCAAATGTTTCATCTTGATTTAACAAATTTAAAAAATCGTTTGATAACTGTTGATAAGATCTTGTTATTTCAAATAATTTTGCCATTAAAATTTTAATAAATCTGTTAATAATAATAGATAATAATAATAATAATAATAATAATAATAAATATTATAATAATAAAATTGTTATTTTAGTAATGTTATTATTATATACTTATAAAGAGTTGAAGGTTGAAGGAAAGGATGGAGTGTTAATAATAACACACTAATGAATGGTAAAGTTGATAAAATAATCAAAAAGGAAAGTTGTTATTTATTTTCTTGGGAAAAAATAGGAAAAATATTTTTTATTAATTCAAATGGTAAAAATATTATAAATAGTAGTAATATTAATTAACAATCATCTCTCTTTGTTCTTATTATTATTATTTATTTGTTATTTTTTTGAAAAAAGAAAAAAGTACAAGTGAATGACGAGATTTTTTTATTTCTGAGGTCGTACAATATTTGATACAATCGTATGACAAACAAAAATGTACAATGAAACAAATATAAAAGTTACACGTTATCGGGAATACTCTTCCACACCTACCTCGGTTACACGAATCCCAACCCAGAACCCCCATGATTGGTAGAAATAAGGAAATCTTATCTTAAAAAAAACCTTGCCGTGTAACCGAGGTAGGTGTGGTAAGAGTTTTCGCCACAAGCATTCAAATCAAATCACATGGTAAAAGTAGTTTATTTATTAGCCAATAAACATGCTTAAATTTTTTATAATTATTTTTTTTTTAATTATAATTATATATAATTAACAGTAAGATACAACGGAATTAAATTGGTGCAACGGAAATTGCCTATCTTGGGGAAAAAACTGTATATTTCAAGAATGATCATCATTAAATAAAAAAATAAATATTAAAATTTCTACAAAAAAGGATTTTGCTGTTTCACAAAAGTAAAAGCATTGTATAAAGAAAAAGAACTCAGTATTCAATGAATCAATATTTCAATGGATCAGTATTCAATGAATCAATATTCAATGAATCAATATTCAATGAATCAATATTTCAATGAATCAATATTCAATGAATCAATGATGCTGAATGCTAATTGAGAATCTATTTTTTTAAAACATAATTTTTGGGGAAGCGTAAGGTTAAAATTTCAAGGTGTTTGTTATTGAAAATGCTTTTTGAATGTCTGGATTTTGATTCATGGAAATGATCGTTGCCTTTAAAAAAGATTAAAGGTGAATTCGAATTCAACCATGTAAAACTATTGCTATTACCCATGTCAATGCTGTGGATTAGATGAATCTGACTTCTGTTGTTGTGTCCAATCAAACCAAGTAAAACTGGGCTTGAAATTGTACTTTGAAAATCTGGTTTTTCCCAATCTGTTCCTCAATTTATTAATAATAATAAATTTTTTTCTTTCGCGCACACACTGATGCTAACGCTGATCCATTTGTTGTCTAAATGAAGTTTTCAAAATTTTAATTACTTACCATGTTTAATGAAAGTAACAATGTTAACGTTAATTGTATGTAAATGCATGTTGATAATGTTATCGTTGGCTCGTGTATGCTCGCTCCAACATATGTTCACATAACAAATCGTCTATTTTTCTTTAAAAGTTTTTTTCCATATCCAGTTTAAAGCCAATTGTGGCTTATTGTTATTTTTACATATATAAAGAGTGAGCCCATGTAATAATTTATAATATTTCATTCACCAAAAATTTATTTCCTACCACTACCATCTTATTTTTTAACACTTTATTATTATTTACTTGCCATTATGAGCTCCATATTAATCACCTTCTTATTCGTTAAAACAACAACAAATCAATAAAAGGAAGTGGTGCGTACCTCGAAGATGGTAAACTAAAACAGATAACGTTCAAGGGATTCATGGGTCAGATTCATTAGTATACGTGTGTATAAAACAAACAATATTGATGTTAATAAATAAAAAATCATGAGACTCTGTTGAGATGTCAACCAAGAATTTTTTTCTGTTAACTAATAGCTAGGTCTCATCCTAGCAACAACTATCGAATAAGAAACAACCATTGACCAGCTCCCACAATCACCAGCTCTCCTTGTAATAAGTGGCCCCTATGAAAATAATTCTCTAAAGACACTCGTGGACCTGTCCTTTGAAAGCTTTCTAACAAACAGGACCGCATATAACCCGATAACGGGAAATAAAATTTTTAATTTCAAATCATTATTGATAAATTCTACAATACCACTAGGGTTGTTAATGGAACATAATGGGTTGGGAGCAAGGTTTAACCCAACCCAACCCGGTTTAAATGTACTGGGTTAATACTCCATGGGTTGCTCCGGGTTGTTCCATGGAGTAATAATTATTATAATTTTTAATCGTTTCATTAGTGAAATTTTTAATTCTCATTTAAAAAAAAAATTATACCGATTTTTAAATTATAATAATTTTAAAACTTGCATAATAATATCAAATATAATTATATATTTTGGTTCCAAATTTAATTTCTTTTTTATTAAATGTTTAAAAATTGGATAATAATTGTAAAAGAATAAAATTTTACTTGAATTAAATTTTCAAAAAAAAAACAGTTTTACCACCCTTTCCCCGACCACCACCCCTAAGAAAAATAGGTCTTTATATAATTTTTTATCACGTAAATAATCGTAAACACTCCGCGTAAATAATTATAAACAAAAAATAAACATTCGTTATTATATTATAAATTCGATCACGTAGATCCATTATTAATATTAAATATAGATTTACGTACTACCGTTTAAAATAAATGATTAGATTAGATATTAGAAATATTTAATTGATTAATAATCAAATTACTAAAATAATTTGGAGCAACCCGGGTTATAATAAAATATTTTGTTCCAGGTTAGTACAAAAAATTAGAAATTTTAACCCACTCCATGATGGAGTGATACATAACCCAGGTTGATGCCGGAGCATTATTCTCCATTTAACAACCCTACGCGAAGAACACAGAATCCAAAGTATTTAAAGTATTTCTTTGGAACATACTGTTTGAAATAAATCTAACAATTAGTTACCCTTAGGTTATTGCTCAAATTGAAAAAGAGATTAAAGTAGTGTTGGAAGAAATACCTAAATATGATGATATAGATGTCATTGAAATAGATTTGCCACCCATTAATGACAAAAAACGTGAGAAAATTCTTGAAACTAATCATAATATTTTCCAAGCTGAAAGGATCAATGATAGACTGTTCATCAAAGTAAGTGTTATTATTGTTTTATGATTATTTTATGTTCATTTTCTAATTTTTGTTATTACTCAGTTTGATGGTTTAATGAAGGAATGAATACATAAGGCATTAATGAATTCACTCAATCAACAACTTCCAGCTTGGTTGGTTGTAACTAATGGGGTATCTGTAGTTAATGGTAATGAATTTCGACCAGATGTGGGGGGATGGAATCAATGGTCAACTCGTCAGCACCTGTCATTAATGTATCTCCACCTCCTTTATTATGGGTTGAGGTAATAATTTTCTTATGGAAATGTGTAATCATTTCTTAACAATCTTGTTATTACTAAATTATTGAACATTACAGGTGGCATTCAATAGGACTAAGGATCATGTCAATGTCATTAAACAAGATTGAATATGTTCAGCCATATTGTCCAAACACTGAGTTTGTGTTAATTGTTATTACTTTTGGAATATCACCCTTTCAAGCAAATCTAAACCCGGGATTATATCAGTTGCAGTAATATCACCAAGAACAGATCATCCTTCAAGAGCACCATATATTGGTCATTGGCTGTAGGTGCGACTTTTGATGCAGTACAATGGCACAAAATGCGATGGAATGAGCTCATTATTCTTGGGTGTGGGGGTGCATCTACTTTAATGATATACTTACTATCTTGTTGTAAATATTTGGCATCTCAACTCAATAACAATCAGTTTGGGTATATTGCAATATGATCAATTTGCTTAATGATACATCATATCTATATGATTAATAAAAGCTATAAAAATTTACATTGTTGCCCAATTTGGGTGAAATTTTATTATTTATCAAGAATTTTTTATTTTCATTTGCTGATATCAAATTTATAGAAGAAAAAATGACTAGGTGTAAATTTCTAGCTCTCAAAGTATATGATATACTGACCTTGCTAAATTTATTTCACCATAAATAACAGATGCTATAATGGAAGTATCCAAAGTGCAAACAAATTTTCTGATTCAGTAGTATGCAAAAGTAATCAAAATTTTCGATCCAGTATAACAACAAAGCATAGGTTGAATTTTTAGTAAAGTAATACGCAAAGGTAAGAACAAATTTTTTAATCAGTAATATGTAAAGGTGATACATCAAAGTTAATCCAATTTTTTAACCCAGTAATACACAAAAGTAAGAATAAATTTTTCGATAGTAAAACAAGAAAACATAGGACAAATTTTGACATGAAGTGGTAGTACCCAAAAGTATCAACTATGTGAGAAAGCTTTCTAGAGATCCAAAACATAGCATACTCATGGTATTACCCCAAGGTATAATTAATACAGATATACATATATTATAAAAATTATGCTTTGTGGTAGTACCAAATAAAGGATAACAATTTGGCACTACGTGCCTCACCCTTGATCAGTAATTGAATGCATCATGCAAAGCCAGATCATGAATACTATTTCGGCACTTTGTGCCTCACCCTCAAATTCAAATGTGACAT